GGGACAGCAGCACTGTATGAGGGGGAACAATACCCCAGGTGACACTGGATGGAGCCCCTGAGGTGCTCCCTGTCCCCAGGCCCTGCATGGGGAGGGGGTGCAGTGCAGCCCCTCAAACTAGATACATCCACCGGGGTACAGGGTGGCAAAGCTCTAAAGGACCACGTTTGGGAGTGCAGGAGTTGGGAAAGGGACAAAGGTGGGAGGTGGCAGCAGCAGTGGCTGCCGTGGTTGTGGTGGTTGTGATGGCAGCGACGGCAGCAGTGATTCCAGTGACAGCAGTGACTCCAATGGTGGTGGCCGCAGTGGCTGTGGTGGCAGTGGTGGCGGCAGTGGCTGTGGCTGTTGCAGTGGTGGCTGCAGTGGTGACAAAGTGGCTGTCATAGCTGCAGTGGTTGCGGTGGTGGCTGCAGTGATGTTGGTGGCAGTAGTGGCTGTGGTGGCTGCGGTGGCAGCAGTGGCTGCAGCTGTTGCGGCGGTGGCTGCAGTGGCTGTGGTGACAGCAGTGGCAGCGGTGGCTGCAGCTGTTGTGGCGGTGGCTGCGGCGGTGGCTGCGGCTCCGCTCGACGCCCGCCGCTCCTCTGCAAAGGTTAAGCAAACAGCAGCTCCCGCAGAATCGATGCCGGCCGAGCCCTCGGCTGTTTGCTTTGGCAGCGCGGCGCGGGGGCGGGTGGGCCGTGCTGGGGACGCCGGCAGCGGGGAGGGGGACAATCAATGCTCCAGGGGAGCAGGTTTGGTCGGGGATGGCTGTGCTACCCCACCTCCCGCTCGCTGTGGAACTCATGGAGGAAGATTTGGGGAAGGGCGAGGGTGGCCGGGCCAGGGCAGGGGGCTCGTGGGGCTGCCACTGTGCCGTGCCTCAGTTTCCCCTCCTGGCATTGTGGCAGACACTGCCCATAGGACCACTCTTGGCCAGGGGGACAGGGACATTGTGCCCCCCTCGCCTGCCTGCAGGCCCAGCTGCCGTGGCTCAGCCCAGGAGTGGCTCAGCTGGAATTAAGACAGAGCTGGACACAAACAACGAGCCCAATGTCGGCCCACGATGAGGAGCCTGCGGAGGGAGTAGACGCTTGCAGGCTGTCCCGATGAGTTTGGATGCTGTCCCCCAAACTCCAACTGTGTCCTCAGGATGGGCTATGGAAGAGGCCGTGGGAGGGGGACATTCAGCTGTGGCGAGGGAGGGCCAACTGTCTGGTGGCCTTGAAGGACAACTGGATGGCTGGTTGGTGAGCTGGGTGGTTGGTGGCCAAGTGGCTCAATGGCAGTGAGCGGGCTGGTTGGACACCCAGCCGATTGGCTGGATAGGTAGATGGCTGGGAGTGGGCTGGCTGGCTGGCTGGTGGGTTGGTTGCCTGGCTGGATCATTGGCTAGATGGCTGGCTGGCCAGTAGACCACCAGTCAGGTTGCCTGTCCAGCTCTCTGTCTACTTGTCTGGCCAGCTGACCCAGGGGCTGGCTAGCTGGCCAGGTCAGCCCTGGCCCCGGGCCAGCAACATCCTAGCATGTCCCAGCCCAGCGCCAGGCACTGTCCCTTGCCCAGCGGGGGGAGCCCGGCCGCAGGCAGGGGGAGGGCAAGGTGTGGGTGGCGCATCCCCCGTCCCTGTTCTCGTCACGCTGCCTCTCATTACGGGCACGGCGGGGCCCGTCACCCTCCCACCGCGCGGCAATTAAGGGCTGCCAACACCGGCAGTTAATTAGCACCAGCGGTGAGTGCTGGGAGGTGACGGCCGCATGGCTGGTGGAGGGGACGGGCTCGGGGACGTGTTCCCCCAGGGGGACATGGGGTGGGAGTAGCCGGGATTTGGGCTGCTGGGACCAGCTGTGCTGTCGCGGGGTGCCCCACGGCCGGTGGGGACGGGGTGTGACACGGAGAGGGAGCACAGTGACAAGTGGGTGCCAGCGACGGTGTGTGCAGGAGGTGCCACTGGGGAGGATCCTGCACGGTGACGGTGGGTGGCACCCTAGGCTGTGCAGTGACGGAGACAGTGGGTGACACCCCGTGGGCCATGCAGTGACAGTGACACTGGGTGATACACTGTGGGCCGGCAGTGATGGTGACAGTGGGTGACACCCCGTGGGCCACGCAGTGACATAGCATTGTGTGACAGCCCCAGCACCAGGCACTGATGGTGACTCTGTGTGACAATCCACGGGAGCTGCAGTGACACTGCGTGGCACCCGGCGGCCCCACAGTGACAGTGACACCCTGTGCACGGCGCGGTGACAGTGACACCATGTGACACTCCAGGGAGCAACAGTGGAGCTGTGCAACACCGCAGGGCTGTGCAGCAGCTCCGTGTGACACGAGTGGGGCTGTGCAGCCGTGGTGACACTGTGTCACACCCCAGGGAGGTGTGCAGTAACACGGACACTGCTCCACTCCCCGAGGGCCATGCAGTGATAGCGACACCTGTGACAACAGACGCCATGAAGCGACACTGGTGACACCAGTGCCATGTAGTGACACCACACTCGGCCCCCCCGCCTGTTCCCCCTTGTGGGTATTGAGGCGCCCACCCAGTTCACACCTGGGGACATGCCCCATGGGGGGACATCACCCTGTACCTGCAGTCTCGTGGGAGGACATCTGGCCCCGTCCCCTGCCCCAGGAGGTGTCCCACGGTGGGCGCGCTCCAGGAATGGGGTACACCAGGGAAGGGGCGCTCTGACGAAGGGGTTACCCCGGGGAGGGGGTGCACTGTGGAGGGGGTGCTCCAGGGATGCAGCTCCAAGAAAGGGAGGTTTCAGGAATGGGGAAGGGGATGCTCTGAGGAAGGAGTGCTGCAGAGAGGGGGTGCCCCAGAAGGGGGTGCACTGGTGAAGGAAGTGCTTCATGCGAGGCTGCTCCGGCTCGTACGGGGGTGCAGGAGCAGGGGGTGCAGCAGGAGGAGTGTCCGTCTGTCACGAGCCCCTCCAGCCGCAGCAGAATCGATCCGGCCGCCAATTTGCACAGTCAAATATTTGGCTTCGCGGCGCGGGGCCGGCTCTGCTCGAGCCGCCCCGGTGGGCGCGGGCCCGCGGTGACGGTGGCGGCTGCTCCGCGATCGATGGCGGGACGTGCGGCGAGCTGGGGCCGGGGCTGTGCCGGGGCTGGGGCCGTGCTGCAGCACCCACGATCCTCCATCAGCACCCACGGACCTTGGGAGCCCATGTGGAGCCGGCTCAGGGGGCAGCACCTGTGCCACGAGCGCAGGGGCTCAGCCCTGGGTGTCCTCCAGGCCCCTCCATGGCCACTGACTGCCGATACCACCCAGCCCAGACAGCTGAGCCGTCTGTCACCGGCAGGGGACGGCTGAGGCTCGGCCACACGGCCACTGCCACAGCCACAGGTGGCCACGGGCTTGTCCCCGAGGGAGTTTGGCTGGGGCGTGGGATGGGCAGGAGTGGGACTCGTGGTGCTGGGACAGCTCCCACGTATGGGCACCACACAGCTTTCATGGACACAACTCCATAGCCAAGCTCCAGAGCCCTTCCCCCGGGGGTGCCAACACCCCACGCAGGGGGCTCAGCCCTCAGTTTAGCCCAGGGCCCCACACCAGGCTTCCGCGGCCGTGCCAGCAGCCCTGTGCCTCACCATGCCCTGGATCCGCTCGCTCCCTCGGCCCCGCTAAACTCGTTAGCGGCGGCCGAACGTCAGCCGGGCGGGAGTGAAGCGCCAAATGCGATTACGGCCCCGTCTCGCTCCCTCCTTCCACCCCCGGCCCCATTTATCGCGGAGGCGGGCGGGAGGGAGACAGAACTGGCGCTTATCTCGGCCGAGAAATCCCGCTCCGGCCGTGATTTATGGCTGGCTGCGAGGGACTCCAGCGGCACTGTGCAATTACGGAGCGTTTAGAGCACGGCAGGGTCAGCGCTCGCGTACGGCTCTCCCAGCACAGCTGGAAGAATCGGGGTAGCCAGGTGGGCGCTCCAGCTCAAGGATGCTCCCTCGGGCTGCACAGGGACCACCAGGTCTCTCTCCAGGTGGGTGAGACACGGGACCTGCAGGTGCAGACTGGGGCTCAGGGGACAATGGGGGTGGAAGAGTGCCTGGCCCCAAAAAGGAGCACGTGCTGGCTGGGGACACGCTGAGAAGGTGCCTGTGCCTAAAGGATGGCACAGGGGACACGCAGGACACTGCCTCACAGGACCAGGGCTAGGCTGGAGGATCCCTGGGATCACCATGTGCTGGGAGGTTGCCAGGGGCTGGCAGCACCCACCTCTTTCAAAGTGTGGGGATAAGTAGTGGCAGTGGGGACCCAGAGGGAACATGCTGGCCACAGAGAACCACGGCAAGTCCAGGATCACATCCCAGCAAGCCAGACCCACCCTGTGGGGTGCCCAGAGCCAACACTGAGCCACGGCCCACCTAGGGAAGGTCATGGCAGGGCTGATGCTCCGAGCAGCTCCTGGAGCAGCTCAGGGATGTTTACTGGGAAAAGCAGGAGCGGCCGGCGGCTCTTCCTGCGTGTGCTGAACTTTACAGAGTGCAGCCGTGCCCCGGCATAGGAACAAGCTGGGAGCAGGCTGGGAGGAGCCGTGGGAGCAGCCGCGGGATGCAGAGCAGCTGCTGTTCAGTGTTTTATTAAAACAAAAGTGAAGACCCAGCACCCGCCTCGCCCAGGCTCGGCTCTCCCACCGGGAAACTGCCGCCGAAGGAAGCTCAAACAGCAGGAAATGAGCTTGAACGAGGTAGAGCCCAGCTTGCTACAGGGTGGATCAGAGCTTTGGATTCAAAGCCAAGGGTGGCCCACAAGTAATGGCCACAGAAAGAGGGCAGGGGGGAGGAGCAGCCAGCTGAACACTCTATCCCTGTGAACACGATGCTGTCCTCCCCCTCGCTGATTTAACAAATTTCCATTAAATCAACATGAAAGAGGGGAAATCTCAAGTCTAAATTTGCATTAGGAGGGCTGAGCTATGAGGAAGCACTGGAGGCAATAATAGGGCATGAGAAGGCACCCAGCCCTAGGTAGGAGATTGTCCTGGAAGACATTAAAGTGAGATTGTACCCGATTAAAGTGAGATTGTTCCAGATTAAAGTGCCTCAGCTCACTGAAGACCCACAATAGAGACACACATGGGGACAAGGGCCTCATCCCACAGGCACAGCTGGTGGGTGAGAACCTGAGCAGGGAGAATGTGCCTGGAAAAACCTCTGTGTTCACCTTGGAAAGTGTGCAAGGAGACGCCTCAAACCGCTGTCTGCATTCAGCTGGCAAAGCTCATTAACAGAGGTGGCCTTTCACTGCCCTTTTCAAACAGGGAAATTCAGGCCCCTTCCCTGACTAAAAGAAAAGGTGAGTTAAGAGATGAAATGCCGGATGAGGAGGAACATCAGCCCTCCGAGCCCGGCCACAGCCGTGCCCACGGCCAGCCGTGCCCAGAGGAAATGCAGGGAATCCTCGAGCTGGGTGTGCAGGCGCAGCACCTGCCTGCGGGTGCTTTCCCGGTCCCCACAGTTGTCGATGACGTATGTCGCCCACTTGCGCTTCTCGTCCAGGGGCAGCTGGGAGCTGATCCGAGCTTCGGCCTCGGCCACGCCCAATCCGTTCCTCTTCATCAACCGCACCAGCTGCGTCGGGGGGTCACTGCCGGGCGGAGCACGGGGCTGAGCTGGGGGTGGGAGGGAACGGGGGGTCTGCCTTCCTCGGGCACCAGGGGGAATCACTGGGATAAAATGGGAATGAGAGACGTGCCCCTTGTCATTTCACACAGTCAGCCTGCACTTGGATCAGCAGAGCCACCACTGCCTGGGCTGTTCTCAGCGTTCACACAGCCTGTAACAGTGCCCCAGATCCTGCCCTGATAGACCATGGGTTGTGGAAGGCCCAAAGGCAGTGAATTCCTCTCTGTGATGGTGCCAGGTTCCAGGGAAAGCTCAGGAAGGCCTTCATGCACTATAAAGGGAGGTGTCGCTTCTCTCAATGGGCTTTGCACCAGAGCTGAAGCTGAACCTTCACCAGAGTGGAGGCACACAATGGTCCCCTCTGAGAGAGGTGGCATTGTCCCTGACCTCATGGTTGCCAGAGCACTTACCAGTAAACCAGCACTGTGTATTTCATAAACCTGGTCAATCCACGGGTCTCGAAGAGCAGAGGGATGTCAAGGATCACGTAGTGGTAGCCTGTGGAAATGGCAACGTTCCCCAAAGAAGGGAACAGTGTTAACCCCCGTTCCCAAATCCCTCATGCTGCACACACGCCATGGCCAGGAAAAGCAAAGCAAGCAGGAGCTCTACAGCTCCACGATTACAGCTGAGCAGAGCAGAGCTTCCTGGCCCTCCTCCTTCTCACAGGGAGGAAATGGTTCCAGTCCAAGTTTCCAGAGGGAAAAAAAAAACAACAACCCTAACCTGGCTGCTCCAGACCAAAGGTGAAACTGCAGAAATATAATGAGGAGCTGAAACGAGGAGCTGAAATGAGAGCAGCAGTGCCTGGCTGGCAAGAGCAGCAGCCGTGTGCTGTGCTGGCCTCTCCCGGGAAGCAGTGCCCACAGCAGGATCTGCTCTCCGCTCCTTCTCTTGTCCAAGACTTCACCAGGCTGCAGCCATCTGAGCCAACATTTCCCAGCTCAGCTTTCCTCCCTTTATGAAAAGCTTTGGCTAAACAACTCGATTTTTCCAAGGGGAGCAAGGAAATCCTCACAGACCTCCTGCAGCTGTGACACTGAAACATGGGGGAGCCTCCAAGCACAGCCCAAGAGCTGAACCCTCACCAAAACTGGCTGAGTTTGGTTTAAAACCTCTGTCACAACCGAGAGCAGAGCTTGTCACAGTCAATCACTGTCCCCCTGGTTCTCCCAGTGCCTCTGCCCTTGGCCAGTATTTGGGGAGGTAGGAGATGCCCTGCTGAGTCTGGGGGAGAAGGTGAGGGGAGGGGAAAGCTCTAAGTCAGGACTTCACTCCCCTGTGTGCCCCAGTCATGGGGACACCTCAGGTTTTGTTTGTGTTCCCTCTTTAAAACCCCCCTAAAACCAAGCTGCCCACAGCAAGTAAAGTCTTGACAAAGACATCATCATCCAAGGAGCCACCATTTCACCAGCATCTCCGCCCTGAGAGGTTTCTCGCTGCCCTCTGATTTGATCGATCAGAGCTTTCCTTACACAGCGATCCTCAGAGACAACATCCAGCTATCCCAAATCATTAAATCCTGACTAATGAGGACACAGCAGCCTGCTGAAGCCACACAGTGCTCTCGCCGAGGGCCAGGACAGCATCCGCCTCCTGAGCCCGCAGCCCCAAGTTCAAGACTCCATCTCTGGCTCCTGGCATTCCTGCCTGTTGCTTCCTTTGTGCTTCCTCCTCCTCACCCTGCAGCAGAGCTTGGCCCCGTGGTGCCCCAGCCTGTTCAGCTCTCTCAGGGCTCAGCTCTGATAAGCACCACGAATCCAGACTGACTCTATTAAAGCATCTGTCTGTCTACACGGAGAGCTCCAGAACAGCTGGTGATCTTATCTGGCATTTCCCCAGCCCGGCCTGACAGCTGCATTTGTTCCATTTATCAGGGGGAACGTGGGACTTTGGAAACCACAGCTGTCAGCCCATTCCTCACCTTATCGACACTCAAAGGACTCCACAGCTTGCACTGAAGCTGGAGCAGGCTGGGGGCAGGGAGGGATATTTGGCCGTTTCGGGAATGTGACATTATCCGGTGGGTAATCTCAGCAAAGCTGCTCCAAGGCCCTACAGATACACTTTAAACTGCAAAGGAAAGCAGTGAAGGGCAGCAGTGAAAGGCAGGAGTGAATCAGGAATGAATCCTCCAAACACTGACACCAAAGGCCACCGAAGGCAGAGCACAAAGGCTGTCACTCAACGTCCCTTCCCTTTCTCTGTTATCCCTGGCCCTCTCCCCACATTCAAACAGAGAAGGCAGAGGGAGCAGGGATGGCTCCTACCAAAGCAGGAGTCCTGGCAGACTGGACATGGCCTCTTACCAAGTACAAAGTACTTCAGGATCTGCTTCAACATCTCCTTCAGGATCTCAGGGTGGGTGATGGAGTTCAGCAGCCGCCGTTTCTCAGGCTGGGAGAAGATAATGTTTCCGAGAGCCTCACGATTTATCTCGCCGTTCTCCAGCAGGATCTCGGTGCCAAAGTGCTGCAGGATCTGCTGATGGGCCTTGGAGTGGGGCTGCACCACTGAGAACATCAAACAGCTGGGGGTGAGAGCCAGTTTTACAGCACAGTCGGTGTTTGCATCAGCAATCACCCTCAGGTGGGGTTTGCTCATTAACTAACAGAGCTGATGCTCCCGTGGCAGCACATCTGCCTCCAGCACAGCTGTCCTGGTACCACATCTGCACAGCCCAGCAGCTCCTGCCAGAACAGCCCTGCCAGCCCAAGGCCCCTTTGAGGGCTGACACCCGGGAGATCAAAGTCCTGCAGACATTAATTCAGCACCACGACCCTCCTGGCATGCGCTGCTGCTCATCATGACAAGTCAGCAGGGCAGGCAGGAGGACACGGAGATGGCCACACGCCAAGGCTGGGGCAGGAGCTGGGCTGAGCCAATTCCCTCCAGGGATCAAGCAGGGAGATCCTAAAGGGACCAGGACCAGCTGAAAATTTCAGCACTATGTGGATACTCACTGCTGCAACTTGGCTCTGGATGCTGCTGAGGTGGGTTTTTTTTACTGTCTTTCACATCAGTCATTAAATTCTTCAGGAAAATGAACACAAAAATCTTCTAAAAGCTCAATTCCCAATCAGCCCTTGCAGAGGCTCTGACGTTACAGGAGTGTATAACTTTAAAGCCACCAAAAAAAATCACCAACAAAAGGGATGAAGCAATAAAACCATAATTAAGCTCCAGCTGAGGGTAACCACAGTGAAGGACAGACCGCAGATAATCATCTCTCCCAAATCCAGGAACATTGCCACAGGTTGTAACCTCAGGCCAACCTCATAAAAGTCTTTAAGACCAATTCTTTTCTCCCATGGAATATCACATGGAGGCAGTTTCAGGACGGGTGAAATCCGTATAGTAAACAAACACATATAAAAAAGGAATTGGTGCAAAATAAAGTGATTGGCAGAAAACTTTCACAGAGTATCTATAGTGTTTTCTTACCGTCTCTGAGGGCTTTTAGCACCTCCAGCAAATTTCCTGCACCTCCAGGGGAATTACAGTGCAATAAAATGTTAAAGCATCACAGCTTTGAGTGGCTATACATTAAGTTCTTCACCAAACAGAAAAGCTCAGGCACTTCCAAATGACACCATTGCACCATGGCTTAGCAGCAGACCCCAAACCTGCTGCATGCAGGATCCACAGCCCTCAGAATCCCAGACTGGTTTTGGGGGAAAGCTCATCCAGTGCCACCCCCTGCAGAGACACCTCCCACTATCCCATGCTGCTCCAAGCCCTGTCCAGCCTGACCTTGGACACTTCCAGGGATGGGGCAGCCACAGCTGCTCTGGGCAACCTCTGCTCTCTTCGTTATCCTGGTGGGGTGAAGGGATTAACATCTCACAGGTAATCAGGGAAAACAAGGTCTGCTCTGGCCTTACTGAATCAACAAATCTGGGATTCTGGGTCTTTTCTCCAGCCCAAGCAGCACATTCTGAGAGCAGCAAGAGGCAGGTGTGCACGGACCAAAAACTCCCCCTGACCTGGGATGTTTTGTCTTTTTTTTTTTTTTTTTTTTTTTGAGCACATTAGTTTTGTGGACTGATCTCTAAGTACCACCAGAAAAACAACATCCAGCACAGAGGGACATTCTCTTTCAGCTATCTGAGTGACAGGATGGGTGTCCTGGGGCTCTCAGGGTGCATATCAGACTAGTCAGGGGATCCCACTTTACAGGGAACCACACTTATTTTTGCCCAGAGTTGGCTTTCAAAGCTGGGAAGCATCACACACCAGGGGATGGAAACTCAGAACACAGTCTCCCCACGGTGTTTATTAGGTCATGATCTTCCTTTTTTCTTTATTAAAAATATATCCTCGTTGAAATCCTCCCCCGGGCAGCTGCTCCGCAGCCCCGCGGACTGGGAAGCAGCAGGGAAACCCTTGTGCGATGTACCCAGAGCACCCTCTGCCGTCAGCGCTTCCCGGCAGCGATCCCGGTTGTCAGGGGAACCTCAGGGAGCAGGACCAGCTCTGGAAAACTCACCCTGCCTGGCAATAACATCGGCATCGATCACGGCACAGCCCAGCTCCCGCAGCACGGCCACCACCGTGCTTTTCCCCGATGCGATCCCACCCGAGAGTCCCACCAGGAACATCGTGCTCTGGAAGGGAAAGAGAAGAGCTGGAAAACGTGCCAGAACAAGGACATTTTGTTCATGCTGAGCACATCAAATATTTAGTCCCAAACAGGAAACTTCATTCAGAGCTCATTTTCCTACTTTCTCAGGGTGTCACTGAGACATCAGCAGGATTTTGGCACCCTCTGAGCTGGGTATCCCTGTTCCATAGGCAGGAGGACAGTGTTGGATTAAACAAGGCTTCTCTGGACCCCCCCTAACTCTGGATGTGCCACTTGAGCCAGCCCTAAGTTCCTGCAGCTGGATTATCTGCAGCTCCAGCAGCTTGTTCTCCTTTAGCATCTCCACTCATCAAACCAGAGTCCCATCTAGAGCACCCTGAGTCATGGAATCATGGAATTGTTTGGATTGGAAAGATCTTAAAGCCCATCCAACTCCTTCTGCCATGGGCAGGGACACCTTCCACTATCCCAGGGTGCTCCAAGCCCTGTCCGACCTGGCCTGGAATACCTTCAGGGATGGGGCAGCCACACCTTCTCTGAACAGCCTGGGCCAGGGCCCTCACCATCCTCACAGGGAGGAATTCCTTCCCAATGTTCCATCTAGCAGTGGGAAGCCATTTCCCCTCATCCCGTCACTCCAGGCCCGTGTCCAAAGCCCCTCTTGGAGCCCCTTTAGGCACTGGAAGGGGTTCTGAGGTCTCCCTGGATACTTCTCTTCTCCAGGTGAACACCCCCAGCTCTCCCAGCCTGGATCCAGAGCAGAGGGGCTCCAGCCCTTGAAAGATCTCCGTGGCCTCCTCTGGACTTGCTCAGAGAAATCAGGAAATTTCTGCAGGTTTTTTGAGGGTACCCAGGAGCAGTTTTTTCTTTAGAAAAGGGCAGAATTCAGACAATATCTCAGCTAGGACTAGGACACACGAGGCCTGAGGAGAGAGCCCTGCTCAATCCCTGCAGCCAGGCATTGGAGCTCAGCCACCTCTGACACCATCGGGACCCAGAGCCCACAAGGCACTCAGTGAATCCCACTCCCACACCACTGGCAATCCTAAAGACAGGGAAATCACAGCTCTGGGTAGCAAACTCGTGTCTGTGAGCTGCCAAACATGGCTTTAAGCACAGATCTGTACCTGCCCTTGGCCTCCAGGCTGGGAGGGGGTTGGTAATGCTGCTCCCACAGCTCCTGACAGACATCTCAACCCAGACCCTGCAACCCTCTAAATCCTGCTTGTGTGCTCTCAGAACCAAAAGGTTCAGGGCCACAGAGGCAGCTCTGGAGAGCTGAGTGGACTACTGTGAGTATCTGCATCCCAAAAATACTCAAGAGGCTGGGTACAGTTCCAGTGTCCCTCCTGCAGCCCCAGCCCAAAGCGTCCAGGCCTTTGTGCAGCCAAGTCGTGCGAATTTCCGAGGACAGCAGCTCTGACTTTGCTGTCACCTCATCCAGGGCGACACCATGGGTGAGGGGCTGAACCTCCCACAGCCCAGCCTGTGGCTGTTCATCTGAGAAGGAATCGACTCCATCATCTTTGGCCAGGAGCCACGGGCTCCTGGTAGTCACCCTTTGGCTTCCCCTTGCCCAGATCCTGCTCCCTTCTGGGCAGCCCAACCCCAACAATCTCAGTCACCATCGACCTGACTCTGGTCTCCCCCCCCACCTCCAGACATCACCAGCACCCCAAAAACTCTGCACATAAAGGAACCGGGTACCTACTGTCCACACTGTCCCCCACGAGTGGCACCCAAGGACAGCAGGTGGGAACACAGGGCTGCCTGAGGGCTGAGGATGGGTGAAAACACAGCACTGTGACCCTTTAGATAGAAAACAACAAAAAGAGACACTTCAGTCATAATTCAGTCCTCCAAACAGGAGCCAGACCCACAGTTTGGGGGGAGGAAGGGGGTGGGCAAGCCCTGTGGAGGCTAGAGGCAGCTCAGCAGAGGGAAGCAGCAGAGCTGGAGCAGAAGCAGCAGCCCCTGTTGGCAGCTCAGACAGCAGCTCCACCGAGCGTGGAGCCAGCCTGCAGCACCACGTGCTCCTTCCCTTCTCCAGACACCAGGACAACAGATGGGGATAGCTCCAGCAGCAACAGGGAGGGATCCAACGGAATCAGAGAGGGCTAAAAAAATAATAATAGCAAACAGCAGTGACTGGGGAGGCTGATGTACGTCCCAAGCAGGACCTGGACGCCATGGGGAGCCTCTCTGGTGTTACAGGAGGCTTGGAGTGACAGAGGGGTTGTTTATTTATCCCAGCAGGTTAAAATCCTGCCCTCCTACCAAGACTTTATACTCGTGCTGCTGCAGCCTGTGAAGAGTAACACTGCACCAGGACGTTCTGGATCACGGCAGTGGAGGCTCCACGTGCCTGTTTTGTAAAAATACACTAAAAACTGCCCTGCCCTTGTAAACACAGGGCTTTAACTGCAGTAACCCCAGCGTTCTGGCCTCCAGCCTCAGCTGGGACTTGCTCCCAAAACCCTGCTATTTCTGTCCCTCTGTTGCATGCCTCCACCACAGGAATTACTGCAGGGGGAAAGCAGCCCTTGGAAGGGTTATCTTGGAAATAGGGCCAGCCAGGGAGCTTGAACACTTGCGCTGTCCAAGGGCCTGCACAGATCTCAGGCATCAATATTTAACAAGCTCGAGTTTGAACTGCACACGAGGGGAGAGGCCAGCCCGCTCCTGCAGATGTTACCAGCAGGAGCCAGAACCAGGTTTCCCCCAAATACACCATTTTTGGGGGATATATTTGGCCTGTTCCAACTAAACCAGACATGAGGAAAAACAGAACATGAGCCACAGAGGCTGGTTAGGCTGGAAAACTCGGTGAGCTGTTCCTGCATTGAGAAATGGGGAGATGCACCCGGGGCACTAAAGAAATGTTTTTCAAAGAATTAAGCGCCCAAAAATTCCCGTGTCCCAACTCCTGCGGGTTTTGAGCACAGCACAAGCTGCCAGCCTCCATCCATCCATCGGGCAAGCACAGGGATTCGGGATGAAGCTGGACCGTGTGTCCTCCAGCATCATCCTACACCCGGCCCTCCTCTTGAGCCCATGCTCGTCTCTGGCTGGGGCTGAGAGAGCTGGTGTTTGGCTCGAGGCTGCAGCTAAAGGGAAGAGCTACCAAATACAACGTTTATTGGAGTGGAAAGAGCCACCGCGACAACCACCTTAACCCACCCCACGGGGTGCCGAGGTCACTATAGCCCCGGCCTGCCGCCCTCACCACTCACCCTCTGCCCGGCTTCACACCCGCCGCAGTGTCCCGCGCGCCCATTGGCTGGCGGGAAGAGGGGGCGTCTCTCCAAGCCAATCGGGGCCGCCCTCATTAGACTCGACCCACCCCTCAAGCAGGAAGCGGGCGGAGACGCGAGCACCGCGGCCTCGGCGGGGAACGGGCGAGCGAGGGGACGGGCCGCGGCTCTCCGTCCGGCGGGGCATCCACGCGGCCGCCCGGTGTGAGGGAGCCCTCCCGCCACCGCTGCCCCGCCCCTGGACACTCCTCAGAGGCTAACGGGAATTGTAGTCCCGGTCCCGGCGCAGCCCGGCCCTAGCATGCCCACGCAGACTACCACTCCCGGCATGCCTCGCGGCCCACCGCCCAATCGCGGCGCGCTTTGTTGCGGGGGTGCGGCACGCGCGGAGGCCCCGTTCAAGATGGCGGACGACAGTGAGACAGCAGTGAGGCGGCCACCGGCGAGGCCTTCGCGGCCGGCGACGGAGGAGAACGACCATGAGCATTGCAGTGACTGCGAGAACGAGGCGGAGCATGGCTCCAACCGGGGGTGAGCGGCGGCCGGGACCGCGTGCCACGGCGGCGGCCGGGCCCATTGAGGCGAGGAGCGGTCGGGAAGTGAGAGGCCCCCCGCCCCTCCGGTGCACTGATTGGTCGCTGGACAGCATCCCGGGCAGAGATTGGTCGAGGCGCCGGTCAGTCTGGCGGGGGGGGCGGCGCCGCTGGCGCCCATTCACGCCCGCTGCGGGAGCGTGTCCGAAGCTCAGCAGGGTCGGGCGCGGCCGCGGCGTGGATGGGTGACGGCTGCGGTGGCTGTGGGGCGGTCGGGACGGGGCCGCGAGTGCCTTTTTCGGGCAGACAAAAGGCCAGTTAGCAGCTTCTCCTGGCTTTGCGTTAGGGTGTGTCTCTCCGCATTCCCTCTGCCCTCCCGCACAAGCCATTCATGGCATCTCCATCCCCGTGGTACCACCCAGGGTTGTGGCACGGTTGGATGCGTGTTCCTGCTTTCCGGAGCCTGTGGCATCCCCGTGCCCGGGCTTCTGCACACTCATCCCGTCGTTATTCTCAACACAGCCCAGGGTTTTGCAAAGCTCTGCCTACATTGTCTCGTGCTTGCTGGAGCGCAGCCTCCAGGGGTATGGAATGGTGGAATAACAACAACAAGGCAGGGAGCGAGCACAGGCAGCGAGGCAGGTCCTTATCTCAGTAGGGAAGAGCTGGAATGCTTAACGTAGCACCCTCATTACTCACTGCCATAATTAATACGGTGCCGAGCTGCTTCACCATGCCTGGCATTTGCGGAAGAGGCTTCGTCCTCATTCGTGCTGGGAATGGGAACCTCAATGTGTGGCTTTTCAGAGGTTTCCGGCGGTTTTGCACTTTGTTCTTCCTGCACCTGAACCTCACTGGGCTCTTCCTGTTCACCTCGTGCTCCTCTCCTGGCCCTGCAGAGCAGAGACCATGTGCTTGGAGAGCCCTTCTCCCTCCATCAGCAGCTTTCCATGGGCAATATCGCCTGCCCAGAAACCAAAGCGAATAAAAGGTCACACAAGAAATATCACAGAGCCTTTTTTTATGACAGCACAGCTGCCCATTTATATTTCATTTGCCTCCCGGGTGTGGCACCGTGTCTCAGTTTAATCGGTTTAGCCGTGCTTGGGGAGATTTTTATTTTCTTTCCCTCTGACATGATTAGGTTTGTGGAAGCCAGAGCTGAGCGGAGGAGACACGGTGCTCAATCACCGCTGCTCCCCAGCCCAGCGGTTCCTCCTGCCCTCTGCCAGGAAAAGGTGTGTTCTGGAGCCCTCCTTGGGTACTGGAGTGGGCATCACTGGCCACCTCGAGAAGCTGGAATACCACAAGCAGCCTGGGGAATATTCAGTAGGAAGTAGTGTGGCTAGCTTGGGAAATTACACCAAAAGCGTGGCTGGTGTGCACAGCCATAAAGAGCATGAGGCAGGGAGGCTTTGGACCTCTCTGGCAAGTCCCCTGTACCCCCAAAACCCACCAAGGACCACCAGGGAGAGACCAAATGATGGGAAGGAGGATGGTTTTCTTGCTGGCTGCACCATCATTAATTCTGTTGATTCCATACTATCCCATTAGACTGGGATGTGGGAGTGTTTCTGGCCACCCCAGTGACACTGTCCCCTAAAACAGGGCAGGGGAAAGGCTTTGAGCTGACAGGGTATGTAGAGCCACAATTGGAGCCCTTCCCGTGCCAGTTTGTGCTGGGAGTCATTGGATCTTGGCAATGAGGTTTAAAACATAAAAGTATTCCTTAGTGAAAGCAATACTTCCTTTCCTTTTAAGGACAGGAAAGAGGAATTGAGTTTCCTCAGCCTCAGTGCTATGTCAGCACTGGGAAGTGGCTGCACTGCTCTCTGCTGTGGCTATCCAAGCTGATTTTCCAAAGAAAATAATCCCTCTTTGTTATTTTTCTTATTTTCCTTTGTGTGGAGAGAGCTTCTGCTGTATCCCTGGTGGCTGTGGACGATTCATTCCCTAGTTCTGGAAAGGCAGGAGCATTGCCTGGGCTCAGCCTAGTGATATTTGTCACCTCACAGGCAGAGAGAGCAGTGGTGACAGCAAGGATTGGAGTGTCCCAGTCCCGTGAAACGGTTCTGTTGTTGTCAGAACCACCCGGAGAAGCTGTTCCAGGCAGGAAGAGTTTGGGAGTGCCCTGTGGCATGGCTGGGTTGTCTCTGGGTGGGGTGTGAGGAGGCAGAGGGGCTTTTCCAGAGGGGTAGCTGTGGTTTTGGCAATCCCTGCCTGCACTTAGCCACGGGAATGGATTCCTGGGACAAGCCCCGAGCTCCACCACGTGGGATTCAGTTGGAGGTGTAGGGAGCACGCTGGTGGCACGCTGGGCTCTGGGAGCTGAGCTCTGCCATCTGGAGATCCTCCCTTCGTCCCTGCCACAGCCCCTAACGAGATTACAGAGATTACAGCCTAAGCACCATGCCTGATTAGCCCCTGGGATGGCAGGAGGATTTTCCAGCATCTAAATACGGAGCAGGGATCTATTCCTTCTCATCTGACACTTTCAGCCTCTGACCAGGCTGAGGGAGCCACTCACAGTAGGAGTTGTTCCCCTTACGCTTCCTCTCTCAGCTTCGGGAATGCAGTGGGAACACCCAGAAGTGGGTGCTGAGCACCAGTTTGTTACTGGATGAATCTGATGTTTTCCTGCCTCTAGAGGGGCTGAGCTGGTGGAGCACAGTCTGAGTAGGTCTCATCCTGAACAAGCCCAGTTGCTGTCTTTAAGTGCTTCCAAAAATTTGTTTTCAAGATACTCAGGTTACAGGGGTTGTTTTCTGGGCAGGGGTTGGTGCTGGAGCCTTTGCCTTCAACTCAAGGAGCCACGTGGTAACAGGAAAGGAGGTATTGGAGTGCTAAGTAATGACCACGGTGGTGGGGATGCCCTTCCAGGAGAAGGAAAAAGTGTTTTCCTAATCAGAAAAGAGACCGTGGTGATCCCCCAGGGAGCTGGAAGATGTTTTGCACAGTGCAGCCAAGGTGCCTTTGTCCAGCTACTTCATGTC